CCAGTGGGCTCCGCAGAGTGGATGTCGATGAGGGGGGCATGTTATCATCATCTACAGAATGGGGAGAGTCATGCGAGGTTGGTTTGGGAGAGTTGCGAGGGGTTGGGGTGCCCGAGCGAGAACCTCCGACGCTGCTGCTGCTGCTGCTGCCTACCCAACCTTCTGCTTCTTGGTATTCTGCAAAATGAACAGTTAAGAAAGTAAGTACCCTAACCAAATATTTCCTAACTTGACCATAGACAAAAACAGGTTAAACTTAGCTAGCAATAAAGAATATAACAAAACTACAATATGTCAAATACCTAATAACACTTATACTTACTTTCTGGATTATATTGGACTAACATGGTAACAGACGTGCCACACTGGGAAAGTACTGTTGAGGCTGACTGCTTTGTGGCTGATCTCAGGTTGATTCCACAGACCTCTAATAACTGGTCACCAACACACAACCCAACCTGTTGAATCATTCATCATTTAAACTCAGGATAAACATCACGATACATGTAAATATTCTCAATATACTGTCATAAGATCTTACTGTGAAGATTATGTAACCATGACCCTCGAGAATATGAACAAATCGTACCTGGGAGGCAAGTGAATTGAGTGTCACTGCAGAGACAAAAACACCCCCATTCTCTAAACAGCGAATTTGGATGCCCAGAGGCTCTGCAGACTTCTCTATGTCAATATTTCTAATTTCTCCTGGATGTGGTCTGTTGGCAAAAAGGTGTGTTATTTCTACATGAAAAAAATATCATCACCAGTAAATAATAACATTAACATTAAAACCATAATATAAAGTTATATATCACACAATTATGTTTTCCAGTGATTAACATAACATACAGATACCACTTCTTTCATGAAAGGTCAATTTACCTCTTCTGCCAAGTATAGTCAGGGTAATGGGGATTGTGCACTGAGTGTGTGATGTGAGTGATGTGCTGTCCTCTTGCTGACACTCCACCTCCACCAACCGTCTCCACAGAACAAGTAAAAGGCATTGGGGATCCTCTCTCTGATGTTCTCTCTAAGCTGCTCCCTTTCCCTCCACTGCTCTTGCTTGCAACACTTGCATTGCTTGGTATTCTTAGATGAATAATATCAAGTCTCATTATCATTTGAACAGAACACTATGAAAAATTAGATCATATCACATTACTACACATTTTGAAATATTAAGAAACTTAACCCAATTACACCTTTTCTTTACTCTATACAAGCAAGTCACATCAAGGAGAAATTGTTAACATTCTGATTTCCTATCAATAAATATACTTAAAACTGACCAAGTTATATGCTCTACTAATGAAAAAGTGAAGGAATTAATTTCCTATATTTCTTTTAATCTCATAATAATAAAAGTAAGCACCCAAATTAATAAATACTGCCAAAGTTCTAATAGTCACCTTTATGGTGTTAAGTCTTCATCATAGAGACTGTAGTGCCATTCTTTAAATAACTTTTAACCAAAAAAGAAACAAAAAATTACCTGATTCGTTCATCTTCTTTTTTGCGAGGCATGGTACCCGTGAAGCGTTGAGAATCATGGTAAGACGGAGGACACGAATGGTGAGGAAGCAGTGGATGTTCATCGGATGTTGGACGGTATGGATGAAGATGATGAAGAGTACGGGGTTTGTGATGGCCGGGCAACTCTAGTGATGGGGAAGGAGAGTGATAGAAAACTCCACCACTTACAGTCCCAATCATACCAACTGGTGTGGGAGAGGATGCCTGACGGCTTTCATAATATCCCCGACCATCCCGGGGATCACGTTCCAGTCCAGAGGGAAAAATGCTATCTCCACTCCTAGATTGTGACAGGTAGTGTGAGGGAACCACAGGCAAGGTGGGAGGCGACGAGTAGCGTGGAGAGACGGCAGATATTGAAGAGCCTACCGAACTATGAGGATACTGGTGAGGATGACTGAGGGAGAAATGTGACAAATGAGGGTAAGGAGCAAATCCTTGAGGTGATCTTAAAGGTGGATTTGGCGGAGAATAAAGCCCCGAATGAGGGTGAGGAATGCGTGAGTTGGGAGTGCGGTCACCCCCATGATGCAGAGGGGATGGTCTCGTACCATACACAGGCGGCTGACTGATTTGAAGATTGTTGTCTATGCTCTCACTATCACTTGGAGGATACTTCAGAATATTCTTTTTTACATAGTACTCCAGCTCTGCTTTGCCAACTTTCCCAGATTTCACGGAGAAATCAAGTGATGTATCAGATGTGAGGGAACTTAGGCGATCTCTATCTCTTTCTGAATCCTCACTTTTTCTTTCAATAGAGGTGTTGTGTGGACCTACATTAGAATATACTTCTTGACTGGGATATACATTACTACTGGACTGTGGACTGGAATAAACTTGAGATGCACTACTATACGATGAAGGTTTTCCACTTATATCCACACTTTTATTATAGGGGGAAAGCTGCTGACTTCGTGGACTAGTTGGTGTACCTCTAGGACTTGATCTCGAGCTCATG